GAAATGGGAGTGGCACAACTATTACCTCTACTGACTCACTTGCAAAATGTTTGCTTCCTGTCCCCATGACCCTACACTCTGTGGTTCTAGAGGTCTTAGTTCCAAAGGGAGGAATTCTCCCACCTGCACACAACATTGATTCCATTGAACTGGAAAAGTAAAAAACCACTTTGGGGTCCTCATGCCTCTGGATCAACAGGCAAAGAAGGTAGTTACTGCACTGGCTGATGTGATTAATCCTGATTACTATGGGGAAATCAGATTGATATTAGATAATGAAGGTAAAGAAAAGTATGTCTGGAATACAGGAGATCCCTTAGGATGTGTCTTAGTACTACTATGTCCTGTGATTAAAGTCAGTGGAAAACTACAGCAACCCAATTCCGACATGACTACTAATGGCCCAGACTCTTCAGGAATGAAGGTTTGAGTCAGCCAGTAGGCAAAGAACCACAACCAGTTGAGGTGCTTTCTGAGGGTAAAGGCAATATGGAATGTGTGGTGGAAGAAGGTAGTTCTAAATATCGATTATGACCACATGACCAGTTGCAGAAACGAGGACTGTAATTGTTTTCTTCTTTATGTATATATTTTTTTCCCTCCCTTATCCCATCACTTAAAAAATATAAGACGTAAATGGGGCTAGTGTGTTTTCAGTTGTACGTATGTTAGTTGTATCATGTTAGGTGCAAATTTGACTTTATAATTGTCTTTATTTAGAGATTATGGTTTAAGGAGATGTGTACAGCTGCCAAGATGACAAGGGGTAGACTGTGATGGTTAAGGTTGTGTGTCAACTTGGCTGGGCCATGATTTTCAGTGGTTAGGCAGTTAAGATTTAGTTTGGCAGTTATGTAATTATATAATTTGGCAGTTATGTAATGATGTAGTCATCCTCTATTTTGTGATCTGATGTGAGCAGCTAATCAGTTGAAAAGGGAGTTTCCTTGTGGGTACAGACTGCATGAATATATGTACAGACGTTCTGGCAATGGTTGCTTGTTCTGGATCCTGCCTCCGGCTCATCATCATCTGACCTCTGCTTCTTGGGACTTGAGCTAGTGGCTTGCCGTATTGCCTGCTGATCTTGGGATTCGTTAGTCTCTGAAGCCTGCCATCTTAGCTGCTGATTTTTGGTTCTTCTGCACCTGCAGCTGTGTGAGTCAGAAGCCTCCAGACTGACACCCTCACACATGGGACTTGCCAGCCTCTACAACCACAAGCCTTGCGATAAATCTCTCTATATATGCATATGTGTGTATATAGAAACAAAAAACCCGTTGCCGTAAAGTCGATTTTGACTCATAGTGACCCAATAGGACAGAGTAGAACTACCCAATAGGGTTTCCAAGGAGCAGCTGGTGGATTTGAACTGCTGACCTTTTGCTTAGCAGCCATAGCTCTTACCCACTGCACCACTAGGGCTCCATACATACACTTTGGAGCCCTGGTGGTGTAGTGGTTAAGAACTCGTCTGCTAACCAAAAGGTCAGCAGTTTGCATCCACCAGCCACTCCTTGGAAACTCTGTGGGGCAGCTCTATTTGGTCCTGTAAGATTGCTATGAGTTGGAATCAACTCGCTGGCAACAGGATTATATACACTTTACTGGTTTTGCTTCTCTAGAGGACCCGGCCTAAGACAGTCATCTTCTCGGCAACTATTTTCTTTTCAGCACCCATTACATCTATGATGTCTTAGCTTGGTTGGAAAAAACTGAAATAACTTCTGGACAGCTCAATCACTGTACTAATTGTGAAAACTTTTAGAGACCATATTAAAATTTAGGCTAGACAAAATCGTTGGCACTATACTGTAAAGTATTTTTGCTGTTAGCCTGGAGCATCATGGGTGCAGACATCTTACAGGAAGTCCTGTGTCCGTGCAGCAGAAAAAAAGCTCTTTGGAGGCGTTCAGAGTACTCTAGAGATGGAAGAACCTTTGGAAGACCAATAGGGTTTGGGAGAACTGAAATGGTATGGGGAATGGGGCGATTACAACGTGAACAGAAACAGTGGACTGTTGTGAGCACTCTCTAGCTTAATCCCACCATGCCCTTAACCCCACCCAAGTACAAAAGACACCATGTCCTAGGCAGACACTGATCCACTTTGTCACTATTGTTCATATTTTATGAATGAAATCATACAGCATGCACTCTTTTTAGCTGGCTTTTTTCACGTACCATGTTGTTACTGTTTTAGGTGCTTATGAGTCCATCCTACTCCATGCAACAGAGTAGAACTGCCCTATAGTGTTTTCTTGGCTGGAATCTTTATGGAAGCAGATCACTAGGTCTTTTTCCCAAGAAGCTGCTGGTAATTGTTTTGAAATTCATCCATATTGTGGCATGTATCAATAGTTCTGTTCCTTTTGGTTGCTTTGTATTCCACTCTAGGAGCATACCAAAATGTGTTTAATTACTCACCAGTTAATGTTTTGCATTTTTGGATATAGCAAATGGAAGTCCTATAAACATTTGTGTACAAAAATAAATGACCCAAATAAATAAATGACCTCAGAGAACTAAACATCTTTTTGGTAGCCATTTGCAAGCCTATTACCCATTTCTAGCCCTTCCCTAGCTCATATTCTCCTCTTCCCGAGCCGTAGGATAGAAGGCGCACTTACTCTAAGAAATTAGAAACCTTCAGAACTCTCCCCATGGCACCTGATCCCAAATTAATCTCTTTGCTTGCACTGTGTGCAACCCCTAGGCCATTATAATTCTCAGAATCCACTCAGTATTAAGTCCTATAAGCCAGGTGAACGCAGGAGGTCAATTCCATCTTCAAAAATTATCTCAATTCCAACCAATTCTCACCCTCTCCATCATTTCTACTCTGGTCCAATCTCTCACCCGAGATAACTGCACCTGTCCCTGCTTGCGTCCTTGGCCTGTACTACCTGGTCTCCATATCACAGGCCGGGTAATACTTGTAAATCACAAATCAATCAAGATATCTACAAGTTCTCAATTATTTAATGACTAGACTGCAGTACAGAATAAAATCTCAAGTATTAGGATAGCCTGTAAAAGGCGGCATGATCTGGCCCTTCTCTCTCTCTCATGTCCTACCACTCTCTGCCTCCCTACCTCAATACAAACCACAATGGTTTCTTTGTTATTACTAGAAATCTGACAAGTTATGTTCCTGTCTCAGAATTTTTATACATGTTCCCACTGCCTGGGAATATTCATCTCCCATATATATTCCTATGACTTGCTCCCTCCCATTATCTCCTCAGACCAAAGAGTATGTCCATTACTCTATTATTTTACTCCATGACTTCAAATATTTCAAAAGAATTATTCAAATTGTAGTGTGCAACAGAAACTCCTTGTTATAAATGCAGTATCTGGGGCCTCAACCCCAGAGATTCTGGCTTAGCAGATGTGGGTAGTTAACTGAAGAATTTGTTTTTTTTAAAGCTTCTCACAGACTCCTGAAACAAGAAGCCCACAGTCTACTTAGAAACAATCCTATAATGTTCTTTCCTTAGAAATATTGTGCTGCCTGGTTCCCCTCAATTTAGGTCTTGACTCAAATGTCACCTCACAGAAAGGCCTCAGAAAACTTTAACCTAAATAGCTCCTGCACAATTATCTATACACTTACTATGCTGTTCTTCTTAACACAAATTGCTACCTGAAGTATTCTCTTTTACTATCCATCTCCCTCACTAGAGTGTAAGCAGTTGGCCTCTGAAACTACAGAAGTGTCAAGCAGTGTCTACAACAGTGTCTGGCACAGTTCAGGTGCTTACAAATCTTTGTTGGAGTGAATCATCCAATAATCCAGGCTTTGGGATGGAATTGTCACAGCCACTGCATGGCTAATTTCCATTTCTTTTTCTACAAGCAGGACTCAAAGAATATGCTATCTTTATTGGATTCTAAGCAGAGTATGATTATCTTTATTAGATCAAGGGGACGAGGACAAGAGCCCACTTATAGGACAGTAAGAAGGAATAACATAGAGAAGCACATGTCCTAAATCAGCATGGCACAAAAGAGACAGGATCTTTGAAATGAGGGCAACTCTCTAAGGTGATAGGCTTGTGAGCAAATACATTTGAGAGTTCTTCTCCAAGACACCAAAGGGATTTTACCTCCTTCCAACTATTCTTTCCTCCATCTTAGACTGAGGTTCTCATCCTTTTTATTCTACTTATTCTTGGGATCCTTTTCCTTTTCTGCTTTCACCCTTTTATATTCAGATTATCGAGTCTCTCTAATCACACACATATACACATACAGATAAACCTTTTGAACAATTCCATTTTTTAGAAGTCTTTCAATGGCTCATTCCCTACAGTGACAAAAATACTGACTCTTTAGTCCATTCACTTTCATCTTCCAAACCAATATATACTTATTTATTTTTCTATGTCATGAGGAATGTGAGTTTCTATAAACCAGCACTGTCCAACAGAATGTTCTGCCATGATGGAAATGTTCTATATCTGTACTGTAGAATACAGTAGTCACTGGCCACATTTGGTTGTTGAGCTCTTGAAATGTGACTGGCAACACTGAGGAACTACATTTTTAAACTTAATTTACATTTAAATAGCCACATGTGATTAGTGGCTACTGAATTAATGCCAAACTATCAAGGAATTTATAATCAGTGTAGGGAGAGAAGACATGGTATGGTGAAATGAGGGTCAGCAAAAAAGAGGAAGACCCTGAATAAGATGGACTGACACAGTGGCTACAACAATGGACTCATACATAGCAATGATTATGAGGATGGCACAGGGCTGGGCAGTGTTTCATTCTGTTGTACGTAGGGTCGCTATGACTCAGAACTGACTCAACGGGACCTAACAACAAAAGCATGGTGAAATGAGTTCCTTTTGTGTGGCCTTTTTGCCTTGGTTCTTTGTAAAAACAGCTTGAGAGATCTTCCCCCCAAGCCCTAAGGAGTTACCTTTGCCCTAGTTTTCTACCCCAGAGGATTTGTTACTTTTGTCCAGGTATTGACATTTCTTGGGTAAGCTGTAAACAACTTGGTTTTGATACTTTATGTTTGATCCTGGGCTGCAGCCTGCTGGGTGATTGGTATGCACCTTGCAGGGTTTGGTCAATAGAGTACACAAGTGAAGTGTCTGTAACCTACTATGCAAATGAAGTGTCTGTGGCCCACCAGAGGGAATTGGTCAGTTTGTGGGCCTGCTGCAGGGGCTTGACTTGAAACTGACAAACAGTTGTAGATATAAGCAGCCAACCCCACAGAGGTTTTAGAGACAGAAAGAAGCAGGAAGAAGTAGAAGGAAGAAAGCAGCAGAGAGACAGGAGGCAAGGAACTTCCTAAAAGAGCTATAATATGGGTCAAGAACTCTAACACTGAAGATGGCAACAGGCCTGGAAGGGAACCAATGGCAGAGTTGATGGCGACAGATGGCAGGGCCAAGAGAAGCCCATCATGAAGGGGCCAAGAGGAGGCATGTCCTCAGGATGTGTGAATGGCAGAGAGACGGGCCTGCTTGCTTGTAAGTGCAAAAACATCTGAGAGAGCTGTCCTGCACCGAAGAAGGGAGGGATGTGCTCTCCACTTTGGTAAGCCATCCAGACTTCGCCTACGTGCTTCCTGATCCTGAGTTGTAGCCTGTTGGTCCTGACCCCGAGCTAAGCCTGTTACTTTCCTAATAAACCCCATAACTGTGAGTATGGTCTTTGAGTTCTGTCTGGCCATTGCAATGAATTATCAAAGCCAGCATAGAAGTAGAAAGTGCCGTGGGAAGAATGACTGGTGTCAGAATTGGTAAAATGTTTGGAGGGTGGAGGTATGTTTGAACCTACACCTCATAGGAATCAGCCTTTAGCTGACGATCTTGATTCTCTCTCCTCCCCCTTGTGAAGTTAGCCAAGTCTGATGCCACCATTTTTACAAGGATCAACAGGGTATAACTCAGGATCAGGATCAGGAAACTTGTAGGCAAAGTCTGGAAGGCTCCCCTGAAGTGGACAGCATATCCCTCCAGACCCTTCCTCAGTGAAAGACAGCTCTCTCAGCTTCTCTCAGCTGTGTAAGCAAAGCAGGACCTTCTCTCTGCCATGCATGTCTCCTCTAGATTGTGAAGGCCTCCTCTCAGCCCCCTCAGGACAGGCTTCTTCTTGGCCAAGCATGGCCCCTCTCAGCCGTGTAATCTTTTTCTCTGCCCCCTCAGGACAGGCCTCCTCGTGACCATGTATACCCCTTCTCAGCCTTGCAGACCTCTCTGCATTTGGTCTGCCTTCCCTTGGCCTCTCCCTTGCTAACTGGCCCAGCTAATAGCCAGTATAGTAGTTTTGTTCAGCTGTCTTAGATGTATTCTGAGTATCAGGTTTCTGCTGTCAGCACCGACTCTACTGCAGGGCCCTTTATGGGCCTGTTGCCACCGGCCCTGCTGCAGGGCCCCTCCCAGGCATCTGTCTTTATTGTTACAGCCCTTCACCCGTGTTACAACTCTTTTAGGAGGTTCCTAACCTCTGCTGTCTCTGCTTCTTCTCTCTCTTGCCTTTTCTCCTTTCTGCTGCTTCTTTTGCTTCTTTCCTTCCAAAACTTCGTGTCTGGCTGCAAATGTAAGCAAATTTCTGGGTGCAGTGGTTAAGAGCTACGGCTACTAACCAAAAGGTCAGCACCTCGAATCCACCAGCCACTCCTTGGAAACCCTGTGGAGCAGTTCTACTCTGTCCTATAGGGTCGCTATGAGTCAGAATCGACTCTACCGCAGTAGGTTTTTGGTTTGATCAATTTCAAGGTATGGCACTCCCACCAGTGCCACAACCCCCTGACCAATCCCATCTCAGAAGCCACAGTCACTTCCTTCGCACTGTAGGCTATAGTCACTTCATTTGCATAGTTTATTGACCAATCCCTGCAAGCTGCATACCAATCACAGGGCAGGCTGTAAAGGACAGACAAAAAGTATTAAACCATCAGGTTGTTTACGGATTGCCCAGAAAGTGTCAATCAACCTGGACAAAAATAACAAACGCTCTGGGGTAGAAAACTAGGGTAAACGTAAATCCTAAGGAGAAAAACCTCTCAAGCTGTGTTCTTCAAAGAACAAAGGCAAAAGTCTGCACAGATCACCACAGTCCTGCTTATAGAAAAAGAGATGGAAATTAACCACACTCAGTGCATACAAAGGAAGTCTATCCAGTGTGAAATCTCTGATGTTGCATAAGTCACATTTTCTTCCTGAAGGCTTTACTACATTCATTGCATTGTTAGGGTTTCCCTCCATTATGAGTTTGCTGATGTACAAGGAGATTTCTCTTTGAAGAGAAGGCTTTTCCACATGAACTGCAGATAAAGGGTTTCTCCCCTGTATGAGTTCGTTGATGTACGATTAGACGGCTTTTCACAGTGAAGCCCTTGCCACATTCTTTGCATTCATAGGGTTTCTCTCCAGTATGAATTTGTTGATGGTCAATGAGTTCACTCTTTGTGGTAAAGCCTTTTCCACATTCACTGCATATATGGTTTTTTTCTGCTGTATGAGTTTGCTGATGTATGATGAGATAGCGTTTCATGGTGAAGCCTTTTCCACATTGACCACACTTGAAAGGTTTCTCTCCAGTATGAGTTCGCTGATGTACACTAAGATTGCTCTTGAAGGCAAAACCTTTTCCACATTCTTTGCATATGTACGGTTTCTCTCCAGTATGAGTTCGCTGATGTAACATTAGTCCACTATTCACAATGAAACCTTTCCCACATTCACTGCATCTATAGGGTTTCTCTCCAGTATGAGTTCGCTGATGTACAATCAGACGACTCTTCAAGGGGAAGCCTTTTCCACAATCACTACACATGTACGGTTTCTCTCCAGTATGAGTTCGCTGATGTATGATGAGCATGCTTTTCACGGTGAAGCCTTTTCCACATTCACTACATAAATAAGATTTCTCAACTCCATGATTTCGCTGATGTATGATGAGATTGCTCTTCCTGGGAAAGCCTTTTCCACACTCGTTGCACACATAAGGTTTCTCTCCTGTATGCATTCGCTGATGTTCATTCAGACGGCTCTTCATGGTGAAGCCTTTTCCACAATCATTGCATATATAGGGTTTCTCCCCTGTGTGGTTTCGCTGATGTATGATGACATAGTGCTTTGTGGTGAAGCCTTTCCCACATTCACTGCATATGTAGGGCTTCTCCCCAGTATGAGTTCGCTGATGTATGATGAGCATGCTCTTCCCAGTAAAGCCTTTTCCACATTCACTACATACATAGCATTTCTCTCCTGTATGAGTTCGCTGATGTATGATGAGATTGCGCTTCCCAGGGAAACCTTTTCCACATTCACTGCACACATAGGGTTTCTCTCCAGTATGAGTTCGCTGATGTTCAATCAGACGACTCTTTATGGTGAAGACTTTTCCACAATCACTGCATATATAGGATTTCTCTCTTTTATGAATTCTCTGATGTTCATTGAGCCTGGACTTTCTGGAGAATGCTTTCCCACACATACTGCATCCATACGGTTTCTCTCCTGTATGAACTCTCTGATGATCAGTGAGCTGAGACTTCTTCATGAAGGCTTTCCCACATTCACTGCATATGTGGGCTTTCTCTATTTTGTACAGTCTCTGATGCTTAATTACTTGGGACTTAGTGCTGATGAGTTTTGTACTTACAGGGAATTTAATTTCAGAATGAAATTTTTCATGATTACCGTGTAGAAATGATTTCCTACCTCCATTAAATTGAGCAGAGTTCTTAATTTCACAGCTTTTGTTCTGGTTGGCTGAACTTAAATTTAATTTCAAAGTTTTTAAATGTAACTCAAACATATTATGATTTTGCCTGAAAGGAAAATGAACTGCGCTATGATGAACAATATTTCCCAATGCATTATGTTCATGGTGTTGCTCAGTATACTTCAGCATTCCTTGATTTTCCAACTGACCTTGCAGATGATCATCAACCCTACAGGTTTCTAGGAAAAGAAGAGAATAATGAATCCTTTCATAATCTTGTTTGAAATTAAAACTTCCCTGGTGTGAAGTGGCTCTTTAGTGAAAACAGTATGAAAACAACTTTATGTATAAATGTTACTTGTCTCTTCCACATTGGTAATAACACAATGATATAAACAAACTAAAACATAAAAGCAGATAGTGTAAAATAAGGTTAAGTAATTGACAATTTATACAGATTTGGCTGCTGTGTAAATGGAACATTACAAAACACACAGACATAGTAAATTATGAGCTGATATGTTGAATGAATGAATGTGAGAGGAAGAAGCAGGGAGGGGTTTTTAATGACAGCATGACATGTTAGCAGCAAACCAGAGTTTAGAAGAACACACTCTACAGAACTTGGAGAAATACCAGACCACAGAGGTGGAGGGAACAACTGATTCAAAATGATGAGGGCTGCATTCATTCATTCCACAAATATTTAATGAATGGCTCCCATCTATGAGGCACTATGCTGGTAGTATTTTCAAAATACAGAAACCTTCCTTATTATCACTGAATTTAAATTTGAGTTAGAGAAAACCAAATATACAAATGAGGAAAGAAAGAAGGGAATTGTAGATTGTTAAATGTAGTTTGAAGGATCAATAGAGATAGACGCTGTGAGGTGGAGAAAATCAGGACATATTTTGCATAAAGAAAAGACAAGGTTAAATGATGGGTTCAATATGTGTGTGTATGAAATATATCTTATATCGAAGAGTATACAGCGTTTATGTACCATGTAGAGAATGATGACAGCATGAACACAAACTGATGTGTTGAATGAATGAAGGTGGGAGCATAGAGGGGAAGGATTTTCACTGAAAGTGAGGAATAAACAATTACTGTGCTAACTATATGGTCTGAACAACTGGGTAGGTAGACTCTTCTTCTAATTAGATGAGAAGTTCAGAATGTGTAGAAAATCAAGTATGCATTGTGAAACATAAACTTTAAGATGGTTACTAGGTAGGTAGTACAGACATCAAGAATCCAGTTGGATGTAAAAATCCTGACAAAGATTTTGACCAGAGACAGCACAAGTAAGAATGAGAAACAGGCCCTTCAATCCAGGGAAGCAAGATGGCTCAGCTGCCATCAATGAATAAAGATAAAGTATTTTATGGACCAAGTTTCAATGTTATGGGCACAAAGTGGTACGGGATTTCAGAGAAGGAAGAATCTAGTATATTCCAGAGTCGAGAAAACCATTTCATAAAAAGAGAATTCAAAGAGACAAAAATATATACTGTCTGAATGGGACAAACACACCAGACTCACATGCCTGTACTTCAGTTTTTCTCTTACTTGATCAATCAGCAAATCTGATTTTTGGGTTTTTCTTGAAACACATTGTCCTTCAAGCATAGCAGCAACTCTTCGATATTCCCATCTTACCACCTGCTCTCTCTTAACGTATGTTATTACGTATTCATCTTTTTTTAAGGAGTCCTGGTAGTGCAATGGTTAAGCACTTGGCTGCTAACTGAAATGCTGACCATCCAGAGGCACCTCAAAAGACAGGCCTGGCTGAGGGCCATCTACGTCAATTGCTACCACATAGTTCTTAAAGACAATGTTCTATATCCTACTTTGTTGGGTAGCATCTGGGGTTTTAAAAACTTGTGAGTGGCCATCTAAGATACAACTATCAGTCTCTTCTAGTCTGGAGCAAAGGGGAGTCAAGAAAACTAAAGATTCAAAGGATCAATTAGTTGAAAGGACTAAAGGACCATATGAACCACAGCCTACACGACCTCGAGACCAGAACTAGATGGTGTCTGGCTACTAGTACTGATTGCTGTGACTGGGTGCAGTGCAATGGATCACTTTTGCATGGCCTTTCTTGCCATGGTCTCGTTAACTCCTACCAATGTAACCGGGTGGGACGGTGTGATAGAGTAATTGTGGCCCACCAAAGGGATTGGTCAGTTTTGTTATCCCGCTGGGCTTGAAATGAGTCACCCCAGAAGCAGGAAAGGGAGAAGATCCCACCACCACCAAGGAAGAACAGCCAGGAGCCTGTGCATTCTTTGGACCTGGGATCCCTACGATGAGAAGCTCCTGAAACCAGGAGACAGAGAGAGCGAGCGAGCTAGAGAAGCACTGGCAGAGACCCAGAAGCAGGAGACAGCATGGTGGGCTTCTTGGCCCAGAGAGAAAGAAAGCTGAATGCCTTTGGACAGAGGCCGAGGGCCAGGGAGAGGCATGCCTGTGTGCACGGCTGGGAAGAGGGTGTCCTGATTGAAGAACTATATCCTGAAGGTTACTTCCATAATAAACCCCACAATCATCAGTATTGTCTGTGAGTTCTGTATGGCCACTGCAATGAATTATCAAACCCAGTAGAGAAGTAGAAAGTGCTGTTGGGAGGGACAGTTGGTGTCAGAATTGGTAAAGATGACGGAGAGAGGAAGCATGTCTGACCTCTGCCTTGTAGGAACCAGTCTTGGGCTGCTGACGTTCATTCTCCCTCCCCCTGGTGAAGTTAGAGGAGGTCAGACTCTGCCTCCATGCCATTTTTCACACTTGGATTATAATAGAGGGTCCTGGACAGAGAAGGATAAAAATGTAGAACAAAAGATCAAACTCACAAGAAAGACCAGCCTTACTGGTCTGACAGGGACTGGAGGAACCCCGAGAGACTATGGCCCCCAAACACCCTGCTAATTCAGATCTGAAGCCACTCCCAAAGTCCACCTTTCAGCCAAGGATTAGACACGCCTATAAAACAAATGATAATACATGTGAGGAATGTGCTTCTTAGATCAACCAAGTATACCAAATAAGCAACTACTGCCCAAAAACAAAGATGAGAAGGCAGGAAGGGATGGGAAAACTGGATGACTAGAACCAGGGAGCCCGCAGTGGAAAGGGAAAGGGGGAGAGTGGTGACACAATGCGGAGATTGCAACCAATGTCACAAAACAATTTGTGTATATTTTTGAATGAGAAACTAATTTGCTCTGTAAACTTTCACCTAAAGCACAATAAAAAAATTTTTTTTTAAAAAGGGGAGGACAGGAGTCCAGTGACAAGGGCCAGAAAGCAGAAGGGGACAAGGAAGCTGGTGATAGGGAACCCAAAATTGAGTAAGGATAGTGTTGATGTGTTGTGAGATTGTTAACCATTGTTATAGGACAACATTTGTAGTAACTGTTAAATGAGAAACTATTTTGTTCTGTAAGCCTTCATCTTAAGTGAGAATAACAGCACAATTGGAAGAGCGTAGTCAAT